TTTTCCTTCCCCTCCTTTTTTTTTTTTTTTTTTTTTTTCTCTTTTGTAACCGCTTTTTTGGTCCAGTGTTTTATTCTTGGTAACTAATGGAGATATATTGCTGGAAAAGCATGTAAATAAATCCAGTATTTGGTGTGACTCTAAAGCTGGCCATACACCTATAGATTATCTGCAGAGTTTCTGTGGTCAGATGGAAAAAGTGCAACAGATCCCTCCATCTACACTAAACTGTGTGGATAGAGAAATCTCCCACTGGGACAAGCTTCAGTATCCTGCTAGTCAGCCCCGCTGGCTCTGAAAACACATGAACAATGCCTGCATCCAATCAGATTGTTCAGGTATTTTGAGAGCCATCGGGACCAACTAGCAAGATACTGAAGCTTGGCCAAGTGGGAGATTCCTCCATCCACACAGTTTATTGTAGATGGAGGAATCTGTTTCACTTTTTCCATCTGACCATAGAAAACCTGCAGATAATCTATGTGTATAGCCAACTTTAGACTTTAAAACAATTCTATTGGGTGCACATGCACACAGTTTCTGAAGCTGTAGGTTGCTCCGATACTGGAGAACTTGGCTCAGTATCATTGCACACTTTGTCTCTTCAAGTGAACCAGTGAAGTGCCCCAGACTGCTTTAATCAGGGCTCTGTGGGGCCATACCATCTGTTGCTCTATTTCTTGTTCTTTTTGATACAGTTAACTAATTACTGGGGAGAATCAAAAAGTAAAGGCAATTTATAAATTGCAAAGTAAACTGAAACGGAGAGAAGCTTGAGCAGTGCAGCATATGTACATACACTATTGGATAGTTCGACCATGTGCAGTAAATCGCTCGGACTTTAGTCGAGTGAGTGCTAGTCAAGTGGACAGAAACATGGATGCTCCATTGCGAGATTACACCATCGAAGAACAATGTGCTGTAGTGTGCTTTCTTTGGGCAGAGGGAGTGAAAGCAGTGGCAAATCACCATGATGTGCATGATGACTTGGGATACAGAAAAGACTGCGCACGATGGGTTCACAAACGGCTTACTGCTGTGCACAAACGTGTGGAGGGTGTGACCCAGTTTTTGAGACGGCATGAAAAAGATTGGAGTAGTGTGGAGAGAATTGTCACCAGAGACGAGACATGGGTGCACCATTATGACAGAACATGTTACATATCACTGCGAACGTCAGAGTTAGGGCAATCATAGGGCCATTAATCGCTATTAACATTAAACTGATGAGCGGTAAAAGCTTTCAAAGCGTCGTCTATGGGCAATTTTGGGTATGGTATTTTTTTGCGACTATACCATCCCCCTATATAATAGCACAGGTACACTGACAGGTCCTCTTTATGGAGACATTAGGGGTCTCTAGACCCCTAATGTCAACTGGAGACCCCAAAAGAAGCTGATTAAGCACAGATTTGCTTCATCAGCTTCTTCTCTCTGGCAGTAGGAGCCAGATGACTGACAGGTGAATGCGGAAGTGATGTAATACACATCACTTCTGCATTCACACTACAGACGGAGATCAGCAAAGAGCTGACTCCCTCCCTCCTCCTCCTGACGCCCTCCCGGGTCGCAGATGGGCCATCGGATCCCGGGATTAAAGGTGAGGGGTCAGGAGGGGGGAGATGGAGGCACTCGAGATTGGGATGGGGGCGCCCCGAAATTCACGCCATACAACCGATCGGTGGCTATAGAGCTGCCGATCGGTTGTATGTGAAACAGCCATTAACGGCTGTAGTAACGAGCGGGTCTTTCCTGCCCGTGCGCGCGCTAGGGGGTGTGCGCGAGCAGGAAAAAAATGCCATCTGGCGACGGCAACCCGCGGATGCGAGTCTGCCGTCCGTCCATTTTTTCTTAACGGGCGGGCGGCAAGAGGTTAAAGATTGCCATGTTTGGTGTCTATTTTCCCGACGTGACCACGTCTTTTATATTTTACCAAAAGTATGGGTAAGAATAAATGTTTTCATAACGTGGGGAAACTTTTTTTTGTAAAGTTTACGGTACTTTTTTCATTATATAGTAAAAAATAAAACCACCAGGGGTATGTAAATGCCACCAAAACAAAGTTGAATGTGTCCCCCCAAAAATGGTATAAAAATCATTCCAGTACCGCGTTGGATGACCGAATAAATGTCTGCAGCAATGAATACTGAAAAATGGCCTGCACAGGAAGGGGGTGTAACCACCTAGTCTTTAAGTGGTTAAATAAAAGTGTTGTAGCAACACATCGCACTGCCCCGCTCCTACACCACGCACACCAGGAGATGTGCCTTATACAGAGCAATACGCACGCCTGCAGGTGTGAATGGGCCCTTATGATTCAACATTACTTTGTAGCAAAATCCATTACCTCTAAATATTTTTCTTAGAAAGTATTGTGAGGTTGAATAAAGACGCAGTTGAGTTCAGTGTGTGTGTGTTTATATATGTCTGTGTATTTCACACATGACATTTACCTGAACTCTAACGACACTTACTGGCCAAACACCTAAACTGCAATGCATGGTTTTTAAACGAAAATGTTTCAGATTTCTAAAACTATACTGTATCAGCGCTACTGTAAGAGAAGGAACTAATTCAAGTATTTCTATAATGTAATTCATAAGAAAAACAATGCCCCACTATATTTAACATTTAAGTATTCAAAGTGTATTTGTACCAAAAACTTTTTTTACCTTTATAAGGAAAGGGTTAGAGGTTTGTGTTTCCACTGGTTAGATTTAATCTCTGTATTTGTCCTAGTGAACATAGTCATTGAGAAATCCACAATTTGTAAGAGTTGTCATCAAACCAAGAGGTGGGAGAAACAATTTTAATGGGGACATTTGTCCCTGTGACAAGTCTAAAAGGAAAAATGTCTTCAATTTGTAGGGACTGTGAAGTGAGAAGATGGTGGATTCTCTGCTTTTGGTTGCAGGTGTGTGTGTGTGAGAAGATGGTGGATTCTCTGCTTTTGGTTGCAGCAGTGTGTGTGTGTGTATAAATATATATATATATATATATTATACACAGTATATTTTATATACATTACATACATACATACAAGCAAATTAAAAGCTACAATAACATACTTTTTGAACACTTGCAGGCTGGAGCTGAAGAGTAATTTGTAAACAATTGTTTGCGGCACAATTTACAAGCTAATGAAAGCCTCTCCGCCTATTTTTTTTCTTTTTTCCAGTAAATAGATTTTATTGATTTTTTTTTTTTTTTTTAAAAGGTATGAACAATAAAAAATAAAAGACCCAAGCAACAATACAGGAATATTAAAAGAATAACATGCAGTCAAAATAGTGCAATCAAGATTAGTGAGATGCATCAACAATCATGAAGTCAAAAAGGCCCAATATCATTAGAAGAAGGTCATCCCTCACATAGTACAAATACAAGGCCCAATTGACTATTCACATCCCACAAATCCAAGACTGAGGCAAACATAAAAAGGGAAAAGAAATGACACGCTCTGAAAGAGAAACTGGTAGAAAGGAGGAGAAAAGAATAGGTATATACTACAATAGTACAATAAAAGAGAAAAAAAGAAATCAGAAGACAGAAGAGGGTATCCCGAACGAGGCCACGCTGGTGAAAACAGCAAGTCAAAGGTTTAACAAGGAATTACTGAACCCAGATGATCAAATATGTTGCACCCAAGAAGACCATATTTTCAAGTATTGTTGAGGACAGCAGTAAGTTTTTCATTGATCATAGTAACAGTAATCCGTTGTGTAACCTCCCAAAAGCCCAATGTAGGCTGTTGCCAGGACCTTGCTATGGTCTGCTTAGTAGCAAGAAAAAATGTATAAGCCAATTTGCGTTCAAGGGGCCTGAGATTGGACACCTGTCAAAACAAAGGGGCTCCCCACAGATCACGAGTCAATTTGCAACATAAAACTGAGTGAAGGAGATTGTACGTTCGTATCCAAAGCACTCAAGATCTGCTTCCCAATTCGACATATACAGTAGATTAATGAGCGTGACATATTAAGATTCCGATACACTAGCAAAACAACACCAGAGCCATGTGGGTCACGTAGACATTTGTTTTTAAATTCTGTGAGGGTAAGGGGTGTGTTTGTCTTTCCCTGGATAAGAGACCATACAAAGTGTTTCATCTGAAGATAGCGATAGCATTCCGATTGCGAAAGCTTCCAAGCTGGCTGGAGGCTAGAGAACAAGTTAAGTCATAAGAAACATTATACGCAAACTACAACGCATGACATGGGCACTTCCAAAACGCAAGAGGGTTATCATAAGCTGGGGGTAAACAAAGGGGAATACAGGATACCCGTCAACGGCAAGTGAGTAGAGATCAGGACTCCTGAAAACGTAGCCCTATCCCATTGGCGTAAAATGACATACAGGTCTATTCACAAAAGGATGATGAGTGTGGAGAAGGGAGGAGAAGTGAACAATCTAGGACAAAATAGCCGATTTGGAAAAATTCTCCAATTCAGCTCACTTTCCAGTTCAGCTATGTTGTCCTAGATTGTTCCCTTCTCCTGCCTTCTCCAAACTCTTCACCCTTTTGTGAATAGACCCCATACAGTAGGATCCAAGATGCGTGGAAGGGAAGAGGGTGGCAGCCACAATAAATTGCACAGGGTGAAAGAGGAGACATCCACGACATTCAAGCAAGCCCAGAGAGGCATCTCTCGGGTAGTGTGCAAGGAAGTCAAAGGGGCAATCTGTGAAGCCACAAAATAGTTAATTAAATTAGGTACCCCAACCCCCTTGCCAACTTGTGTCTATATAGCGTAGATGCAGTCACCCTCGGATGTACCCGACCCCAAGGAACTTTCTGTATCTTATGTTGCTCTATCCGGAGTATATGACCAGGTACCACCACAGGCAGAGTGCAAAAGTAATACAGCAACTTCGGCAGGTAAGACATCTTCACAGCAATCCTACCAATCCAGGAAAATAGGAATCAACCACCATTTACCAAACCGAGAACGTTTATGAAAAAGGGGTGGATAATTTGCTTCATACAAGGAAGAATAATGCGCCGCTAAGTCTATCCCCAAATACAGCAACTTAGAGGACCAAGAAAAGCGATAGCGTGAATGCCCGCCAGAGCATCAGGGTTCAAAGAAACGTTCAAGGCCTTAGATTTCTCCTGATGAACTATTAGCCCTATTTATCCCGGAGAGCAGGGAATACATGTTCACTACCTGAAAGTAAATGTAAGTAAAGTAAATGTATGTGTGATGGGTTAATGTGAATTGATACACACATGTAGACTTTTTTCAGCCCTGTATATTTGCTACTTTTTCAGTATGAGCATGCATGTTTTTGGAGCTAATAAAAACTTGTTTGAGATTGTTCTTTGTTCTTATTTCTGCACTAAAAGATCTGATAATGAAACCTGTTAAAATAAAAAAAAATTGAATCAATTAAAATTAAAGGGTTGGAACATTCTGTACCTTGCCATAGTGTTGGAGATAAAACTGATGAAAATATTCAGGGTGTAGCCATGTTCAGATTGTTTGGGGAGTGCCTCTTTACCTCTCCAAGTAATAAGAGCAGAGGGGTAAAAACAGTAGTTCATTCCAGCAACTGGGACTTTGAGAGGTCAGCAAAAGACAGAAATAAATGTAAGATATGTCAAGCCTAATTTTGAGCTTTGAGTGGGGAAGGGTTCAAACTCTTGTCAAGTTTTTACTGCACTCTGTGGCTCCATTAGAAAGATTTACCCTATGTTCTTGTACTGCTGACAATGTTTTTGCAGACAGGAAGTGAATATAATTCTCCAACAGCAACACAGACAGTAGGAAAACACCTGAGATGTTTTTATTTCTTTCTCTGTACTCGTTGCAGATTTTCTCTCACTTCCTGTTGGGTAAAGCTGGACATACACCTATAGATTATCTGTAGATTTTCTATGGTCAGATGGAAAAAGTGCAACAGATTCCTCCATCTACGCTTAACTGTGTGGATGGAGCACTCTCTGACTGGGCCAAGCTTCAGTATCTTGCTAGTTGGTCCTGCTGGCTCTCAAAATACCTGAGCAATCAGATTGGATGCAGACATTGTTCAAGTATTTTGAGAGCCAGTGGGGCCCGACTAGCAAGATACTGAAGCTTGGCCCAGTGGGAGATTCCTCCATCCACACAGTTTAACGTAGATAGAGGAATCTATTTCACTTTTTCCATCTGACCATATAAAATTTGAAGATGATCTATAGGTGTATGGCCAGCTTTAGCCTGTTCTTTCTTACTGAGCTCTGGATAGCAGTATACAAATCTGACAGGAGTTTATATCCTTCACCACCCTAATCAAAACTAGAACAAAATGTTGTTTGACATTCACTTTGAGGTGAGGAAATGTTCCATACTATCCTGAGTTGAAGAATACTCAGATCAGATCAAACCCAAAGATCCAAAGAGGTGAAGGAGCTTAAAAAGAAAAACAAAGAACTCCGTGTGTGCTTTAATTAAAAGTAACCAATTTGTTACAAATTGGATAGGGGCAAAAGAGTTTAATAGTATCATTTGTGAGCTTTTTTTTTTTTTTTTCTTCAGTATCACACTGTGTTGTCCTAAAAGTTTAATAAAATGTGAAAACAGAGTGCACAAAACCTTTAAAAACCGCACCCTCGCATTCCCTGAACCCCCTGTTATCTTCATATCCACAGTTATTCACAAAATATTAAACAAATAGACTTCAGGCATGTGTTTGGTGGACATTGGCTAGTGTAAGGACAGTACAAGAGCACTTGAATAGGAAGCAAATAAAAAGAGTTGTGGCGCGTTTTAATTTACAATCAAAATTTGAATGTATCTGAGAGACAGCGTTTTCCTTTCAGTGGGTCATTGCGATTGGCATTCATTGTGATTGATGATGGATTTACTGAAAAACGTCATGTGCAAGGTTCAGCTCCTCTACCCTGCTGCTGCTCCCCTCATGTCTAGCAGGTCAGTTATGGCAGCCCAAATAATCTCATATTAGACTACTTGCAACTGGGACAATCTTGCAAGACTGTTGTACAGCAGACTTCGTACAGATAATTAAGACATTTAAAAAGCTAGAACCAGGTAACTTCAAACCAGTGTTCATTATTTTTGAAGTATATCGATGGGAGACCTACAAAAATATACAGTGAACTCCCCATTATCTGGCATTCAAGCAACCGGCACTCTCAAGCAACCAGCAAAAAAAATGACCTCAATTTCTTTTTTTGTTTAAAAGACATGTGCACGCTAAACAAAATGTCATTAGTAACTAAATTTATTTAGTTGCTAATAAAATTGTCTGTTTACATTCTCTGAAATTCTCTTTTAAGTTCTTGCTGCTGGCCGGGCGGTCAGATTCCGCAGCCAGCAGCTGAATGTACACAACGGGCAGCGGGCGAGAGCAATAGCCAGCCTGCTATTGGCTATTTCAACTTGCTATTGCTCCCACCACTGCC